CCCCCCCCCCCCCGGAGCTGACGCGCTGAGCGAAGCCGAAGTGAGCCGAGCGGAGCCGAAGTTAGCCGTGTCCTAGCGTCCTGGTAGATATGCAACGTGAGTCAACAATGGTGACGTCACCACGGGATACCGCGGTTACTAGGCAGCAGTAAACAACTCTAAACAGCGTTGGTAGGATATTGGCAAACAGGCAACCAGGCAACATGGAAGCCAGGCGTTTTCCCGTTGTCCGGCTGAAGGTTTATAAGAGACCTACACTGCCTACGAAGTCAGTTCTCAAGGAAGCTACCTACAAGTTAGTTCCGAGAGAGTTCTGAGTTAGTCAGCAACCAGTCAGTTGCATTCTGGCATTTGGAGTGTAATATTTGTGATACTGCAGATAGAAGTAATTGTGAATCTGTAATTTGGGTGCTTGTAAATGCGAATGTGAAATAAAATTTGTTATATCAAATACGGCGTGAAGTTATTTGTCGCGTTATACACCCAATACATGACAATTGGTGTCAGAAGTGGGATACGATCTTAAACACGCGAAAAGAACATGGAGTCACAGCAGATGATAGTATTTCTGCTGAAGAAAATCAGTGCTGGCCAAGAAAAAACAGACGAAATGCTGAAGGAAATCATAGCTGGACAAGAAAAGGCGGCGGCCGAATCGAAATCCTACCAAGAAGAGACGGAGACCAAATGGAAAACCGACAAGGAAAAAGATGAAAAGCCGGCCCCAGTGGACATGAAACCTGAGGCGGAACGACAAGAAGAGGTCCCCATAGTGAAACCAGTCGGAGAGACGATGGCCTGCCAAGAAATGGAGGCACGTCCAGAAGAAGAAGAGCCGACCTCAGCGAACAGGAAACCTGAGGCGGCAGAACTACGAGAGGTACCCGTACAAGACACCAAAGTAATGCCAGTCGGAGAGCCGAAGAAGAAAAGGCGTAGGGACCGAAATCGGCGAAATAAGAAAATTGCGGACCCCAGAATAAATTGGCCGTCGTACGCAGGAAGGTGTCCCGCCGTGCAACAGTGGCATGGCGTAGGAGGAACATCTTCAGAAAATGTTGGATCCGAGCAGATTATGGACCCNTGCGTCCCGGATAAAGTTGGCTGCCATCTGCAGGAAGATATCCCGTCGCGCGACAATGGCACGACGGAGAAATGACTTCAAGAAGGAAACTCCCCAGGGAACCTTTGGATGCCAGTGGAAAGGACTGCCAGCCGAGCAGGGACGGCAGAAGAATTGGACCAGAAACCATTCTACGAGAGGAACCCAGAAAGGATGGACTCCCATATGGAAACAACTGGTGCACCTGGAAGGCACCAAGGAAGCCAAGAGTCGAAACTTCGAGGACCAGCTACGGCTTGGAAGCAAGTGGGAATTTAACAATCTGTAATTTGGGTGATTGTAAGTGCGAATGTGACATAAAATTCGCTCTATCAAATATGGCGTGAAGTTATTTGTCGCGTTATACACCCAATACATGACAATATATATATATATGTGTATATATATATATATATATATATACAAGGTGTG